GGTTCGATTCCCGGGTGGTGCATGCAAGACGGTCTGAATATGGGTTGAGTAGGGGACAAAAGAATAGAGAAAGGTACAGAACTCTGAAATGGACTTTTGAAATCTCTTCCATCGGCAGAGTTTTGAGAGATTCCCATTCTTGTGACCAGGGTTCAATTCCCATGCAGTGTTTGTATTAATCCAACTTCAAACAAAGAAGTGTTTATTTGGTTTAGGGTTATGATTCTCACTTAGGTTGCGAGAGGTCCAGGGTCCAAATCAATACTAAACAATACAAGCGCCGCTAGTGTAGTGATATCATACAATATTCCCATTCTTGTGACCCAGGTTCGATTCCCGGGCGGTGCATGCAAGGCGGTCTGAATATGGGTTGAGTAGGGGATGGAATAATAGAGAAAGGTACAGAACTCTGAAATGGACATTTGAAATCTCTTCCATCGGCAGAGTTTTGAGAGATTCCCATTATTGTGACCCGGGTTCGATTCCCGGGTGGTGCATGCAAGACGGTCTGAATATGGGTTGAGTAGGGGACAAAAGAATAGAGAAAGGTACAGAACTCTGAAATGGACTTTTGAAATCTCTTCCATCGGCAGAGTTTTGAGAGATTCCCATTCTTGTGACCAGGGTTCGATTCCCATGCAGTGTTTGTATTAATCCAACTTCAAACAAAGAAGTGTTTATTTGGTCGAGGTTTATGATTCTCACTTAGGTTGCGAGAGGTCCAGGGTCCAAATCAATACAAAACAATACAAGCGCCGCTAGTGTAGTGGTATCATACAAGATTCCCATTCTTGTGACCCGGGTTCGATTCCCGGGCGGTGCATGCAAGACGGTCTGAATATGGGTTGAGTAGGGCACAAAAGAATAGAGAAAGGTACAGAACTCTGAAATGGACATTTTAAATCTCTTCCAGGCGGCGGAGTTGAGAGAGCCAGAGTTATTTGTAACCACTGCAACATTGAATTTTCTTATCACTGGACTCTAAGGGTAACGTGTTCTTCTATAGCTAACTATATGACAAAAAGCTAATGCACTAGCAATTTTGAAGACGATGACTACAGACTTGTGAGGCCACAATATTAAGGATACACAGGGCACTCCAACATCTAGGAAAACCAAAAAACACTGTAATAGTAAATATATTGATAGTTATATTATTTATAAACAAGCGTTATACAAGCGCCGCTAGTGTAGTGGTATCATACAAGATTCCCATTCTTGTGACCCGGGTTCGATTCCCGGGCGGTGCATGCAAGACGGTCTGAATATGGGTTGAGTAGGGGACGGAAGAATAGAGAAAGGTACAGAACTCTGAAATAGAAGTTTGAAATCTCTTCCATCGGCAGAGTTTTGAGAGATTCCCATTCTTGTGACCAGGGTTCAATTCCCATGCAGTGTTTGTATTAATCCAACTTCAAACAAAGAAGTGTTTATTTGGTGTAGGTTTATGATTCTCACTTAGGTTGCGAGAGGTCCAGGGTCCAAATCAATACAAAAACAATACAAGCGCCGCTAGTGTAGTGGTATCATACAAGATTCCCATTCTTGTGACCCGCGTTCGATTCCCGGGTGGTGCATGCAAGACGGTCTGAATATGGGTTGAGTAGGGTACGGAAGAATAGAGAAAGGTACAGAACTCTGAAATAGACGTTTGAAATCTCTTCCATCGGCAGAGTTTTGAGAGATTCCCATTCTTGTGACCAGGGTTCAATTCCCATGCAGTGTTTGTATTAATCCAACTTCAAACAAAGAAGTGTTTATTTGGTGTAGGTTTATGATTCTCACTTAGGTTGCGAGAGGTCCAGGGTCCAAATCAATACAAAACAATACAAGCGCAGCTAGTGTAGTGGTATCATACAAGATTCCCATTCTTGTGACCCAGGTTCGATTCCCGGGCGGTGCATGCAAGACGGTCTGAATATGGGTTCAGTAGGGGAGAAAAGAATAGAGAAAGGTAAAGAACTCTGAAATAGATGTTTGAAATCTCTTCCATCGGCAGAGTTTTGAGAGATTCCCATTCTTGTGACCCGGGTTCGATTCCCGGGCGGTCCATGCAAGACGGTCTGAATATGGGTTGAGTAGGGGACAAAAGAATAGAGAAATGTACAGAACTCTGAAATGGACTTTTGAAATCTCTTCCAGGCGGTGGAGTTGAGAGAGCCAGAGTTATTTGTAACCACTGCAACATTGAATTTTCTTATCACTGGACTCTAAGGGTAACTTGTTCTTCTATAGCTAACTATATGACAAAAAGCTAATGCACTAGCAATTTTGAAGACGATGACTACAGACTTGTGAGGCCACAATATTAAGGATACACAGGGCACTCCAACATCTAGGAAAACCAAAAAACACTGTAATAGTAAATATATTGATAGTTATATTATTTATAAACAAGCGTTATACAAGCGCCGCTAGTGTAGTGGTATCATACAAGATTCCCATTCTTGTGACCCGGGTTCGATTCCCGGGCGGTGCATGCAAGACGGTCTGAATATGGGTTGAGTAGGGGACGGAAGAATAGAGAAAGGTACAGAACTCTGAAATAGACGTTTGAAATCTCTTCCATCGGCAGAGTTTTGAGAGATTCCCATTTTTGTGACCAGGGTTCAATTCCCATGCAGTGTTTGTATTAATCCAACTTCAAACAAAGAAGTGTTTATTTGGTGTAGGTTTATGATTCTCACTTAGGTTGCGAGAGGTCCATGGTCCCAATCAATACAAAACAATACAAGCGCCGCTAGTGTAGTGGTATCATACAAGATTCCCATTCTTGTGACCCGGGTTCGATTCCCGGGCGGTTTATGCAAGACGGTCTGAATATGGGTTGAGTAGGGCACAAAAGAATAGAGAAAGGTGCAGAACTCTGAAATGGACATTTTAAATCTCTTCCAGGCGGCGGAGTTGAGAGAGCCAGAGTTATTTGTAACCACTGCAACATTGAATTTTCTTATCACTGGACTCTAAGGGTAACGTGTTCTTCTATAGCTAACTATATGACAAAAAGCTAATGCACTAGCAATTTTGAAGACGATGACTACAGACTTGTTAGGCCACAATATTAAGGATACACAGGGCACTCCAACATCTAGGAAAACCAAAAAACACTGTAATAGTAAATATATTGATAGTTATATTATTTATAAACAAGCATTATACAAGCGCCGCTAGTGTAGTGGTATCATACAAGATTCCCATTCTTGTGACCCGGGTTCGATTCCCGGGCGGTGCATGCAAGACGGTCTGAATATGAGTTGAGTAGGGGACGGAAGAATAGAGAAAGTTACAGAACTCTGAAATAGACGTTTGGAATCTCTTCCGTCGGCGGAGTTTTGAGTGATTCCCATTCTTGTGACCTGGGTTCAATTCCCATGCAGTGTTTGTATTAATCCAACTTCAAACAAAGAAGTGTTTATTTGGTGTAGGTTTATGATTCTCACTTAGGTTGCGAGAGGTCCAGGGTCCAAATCAATACAAAACAATACAAGCGCAGCTAGTGTAGTGGTATCATACAAGATTCCCATTCTTGTGACCCGGGTTCGATTCCCGGGCGGTGCATGCAAGACGGTCTGAATATGGGTTCAGTAGGGAGAAAAGAATAGAGAAAGGGAAAGAACTCTGAAATAGACGTTTGAAATCTCTTCCATCGGCAAGAGTTTTGAGAGATTCCCATTCTTGTGACCCGGGTTCGATTCCCGGCGGGGTCCATGCAAGACGGTCTGAATATGGGTTGAGTAGGGGACAAAGAATAGAAGAAAGGTACATAACTCTGAATGGACTTTTGAAATCTCTTCCAGGCGGTGGAGTTGAGAGAGCCAGAGTTATTTGTAACCACTGCAACATTGAATTTTCTTATCACTGGACTCTAAGGGTAACTTGTTCTTCTATAGCTAACTATATGACAAAAAGCTAATGCACTGGCAATTTTGAAGACGATGACTACAGACTTGTGAGGCCACAATATTAAGGATACACAGGGCACTCCAACATCTAGGAAAACCAAAAACACTGTAATTAGTAAATATATTTGAGAGTTATATTATTTATAAACAAGCGTATACAAGCGCCGCTAGTGTAGTGGTATCATACCAGATTCCCATTCTTGTGACCCGGGTTCAATTCCCGGGTGGTGCATGCAAGACGGTCTGAATATGGGTTGAGTAGGGGACGGAAGAATAGAGAAAGGTACAGAACTCTGGAATAGACGTTTGAAATCTCTTCCATCGGCAGAGTTTTGAGAGATTCCCATTTTTGTGACCAGGGTTCAATTCCCATGCAGTGTTTGTATTAATCCAACTTCAAACAAAGAAGTGTTTATTTGGTGTAGGTTTATGATTCCCACTTAGGTTGCGAGAGGTCCATGGTCCCAATCAATACAAAACAATACAAGCGCCGCTAGTGTAGTGGTATCATACAAGATTCCCATTCTTGTGACCCGGGTTGTTTCCCGGGCGGTGCATGCAAGACGTTCTTAATATGGGTTGAGTAGGCGATGGAATAATAGAGAAAGGTACAGAACTCTGAAATGGACATTTGAAATCTCTTCCAGGCGGCGGATTTGAGAGAGCCAGAGTTATTTGTAACCACTGCAACATTGAATTTCTTATCACTGGACTCTAAGCGTAACTTGTTCTTCTATAGCTAACTATATGACAAAAAGCTAATGCACTAGCAATTTTGAAGACGATGACTACAGACTTGTGACGGCCACAATATTAAGGATCACACAGGGCACTCCAACAACTCTATGGAAAACCATCAAAAACACCTGTAATAGTAAATATATTGATAGTTATATTATTTATAACAAGCATTATACAAGCGCCGCTAGTGTAGTGGTATCATACAAGATTCCCATTCTTGTGACCTGGGTTCGATTCCCATGCAGTGTTTGTATTAATCCAACTTCAAAACAAAGAAGTGTTTATTTGGTGTAGGTTTATGATTCTCACTTAGGTTGCGAGAGGGTCCAGGGTCCAAATCAATACAAAACAATACAAGCGCCGCTAGTGTAGTGGGTATCATACAAGATTCCCATTCTTGTGACCCGGGTTTCGATTCCCGGGCGGTGCATGCAAGACGGTCTGAATATGGGTTCAGTAGGCGACAAAAGATAAGAGAAAGGTACAGAACTCTGAAATAGACGTTTGAAATCTCTTCCATCGGCAGAGTTTTGAGAGATTCCCATTCTTGTGACCCGGGTTCGATTCCCATGCAGTGTTTGTATTAATCCAACTTCAAACAAAGAAGTGTTTATTTGGTGTAGGTTTATGATTCTCACTTAGGTTGCGAGAGGTCCAGGGTCCAAATCAATACAAAACAATACAAGCGCCGCTAGTGTAGTGGTATCATACAAGATTCCCATTCTTGTGACCTGGGTTCGATTCCCATGCAGTGTTTGTATTAATCCAACTTCAAACAAAGAAGTGTTTATTTGGTGTAGGTTTATGATTCTCACTTAGGTTGCGAGAGGTCCAGGGTCCAAATCAATACAAAACAATACAAGCGCCGCTAGTGTAGTGGTATCATACAAGATTCCCATTCTTGTGACCCGGGTTCGATTCCCGGGCGGTGCATGCAAGACGGTCTGAATATGGGTTGAGTAGGGGACAAAAGAATAGAGAAAGGTACAGAACTCTGAAATGGACTTTTGAAATCTCTTCCAGGCGGTGGAGTTGAGAGAGCCAGAGTTATTTGTAACCACTACAACATTGAATTTTCTTATCACTGGACTCTAAGGGTAACTTGTTTTTCTATAGCTAACTATATGACAAAAAGCTAATGCACTAGCAATTTGAAGACGATGATTACAGACTGTGAGGCCACAATATTAAGGATACACAGGGCACTCCAACATCTAGGAAACCAAAAAAACCTGTAATAGGTAAATCTATTGATAGTTATAATTATTTATAACAAGCATAATACAAGCGCCGCTAGTGTAGTGGTATCATCACAAGATTCCCATTCTTGTGACCTGGTTCGATTCCCGGGCGGTGCATGTCAAGACGGTCTGAATATGAGTTGAGTAGGGGACGGAAGAATAGAGAAAGGTACAGAACTCTGAAATGGATGTTTGAAATCTCTTCCGTCGGCGGAGTTTTGAGTGATTCCCATTCTTGTGACCTGGGTTCAATTCCCATGCAGTGTTTGTATTAATCCAACTTCAAACAAAGACGTGTTTATTTGGTGTGGGTTTATGATTCTCACTTAGGTTGCGAGAGGTCCAGGGTCCAATCAATACAAACAATACAGGCGCCGCTAGTGTATGGTATCATACAAGATTCCCATCTTGTGACCAGGGTTCGATTCCCGGGCGGTGCATGCAAGACGGTCTGAATATGGGTTGAGTAGGGGATGGAAGAATAGAGAATTGTACAGAACTCTGAAATGGACATTTTAAATCTCTTCCAGGCGGCGGAGTTGAGAGAGCCAGAGTTATTTGTAACCACTGCAACATTGCATTTTCTTATCACTGGACTCTAAGGGTAACTTGTTCTTCTATAGCTAACTATATGACAAAAGCTAATGCACTAGCAATTTTGAAGACGATGACTACAGACTTGTGAGGCCACAATATTAAGGATACACAGGGCACTCCAACATCTAGGAAAACTGAAAAACACTGTAATAGTAAATATATTGATAGTTATTTTATTTATAAAAATGCATAATTCAAGCGCCGCTAGTGTAGTGGTATCATACAAGATTCTATTCTTGTGACCTGGGTTCGATTCCCGGGCGGTGCATGCAAGACGGTCTGAATATGGGTTGAGTAGGGGACGGAAGAATAGCGAAGGTACAGAACTCTGAAATGGACATTTGAAATCTCTTCCATCGGCAGAGTTTTGAGAGATTCCCATTCTTTGTGACCCG